TGATATAAAAAAAAGTAACAAAAACAATATTCTACTTTATACCTATATAATTATAATAAAGAGTAGGTATTTAAATAAACTCAACAGTTAACAACATAAATGACATATTTTCTTAGTATAAAAAAAGTAACAAAAACAATATTTAACTTTATACCTATATAATTATAATAAAGAGTAGGTATTTAAATAAACTCAACAGTAAACAACCTGAATGACATATTTTATTATGTATATTTTCTTTCTCCAAGAAAATTTGTGAAATAATCAGTAACCGAGGATTCAGTTGATGAAGAAGAATCAGATTGCAGGTTATTTAACTGTCCATAGTTTATATAAGAATGTGAAGATTCATCTGTAGTTGTTAAATGTTTAGGTGTGGTAGAGTTAAGTGTTGTAGTGTCAATATTGTAATAGTTGGATGAATAAAGTTGATGGGACTTATTTAAATTTTTCATATCAACAACATCAACATCAGCATTTAACTGCTGTAATAGAGCTTTAGCACACACTTTTTGACATAATAATTCAGCTTAGATTTGTTGATCTGGTTTCATTTTTTTCATCTTTGCTGCAAAACTAATACCCATCGCATCATATTCATTCAATTCATTGTTTGTGTCTAGCGCTTCAGTACACTTTAGCGTTTAGCATAAATGTATTTACGTTATCATCTAATTTTTGCCTCTTAGTTTTTTTCACATACGATTTTGGTGTTTTAAAAATCTAAAACAAAAGTTTAACTGTTAACAATAAAATCCAAAAACAAATTTATACACTATTATAATACAAATTTACTGTTAATTTTATTTATTTTTTCAGACACCACAAACAAGCAAAGAGTGGAAAGAAGTTGCTGAAGGATTCAAAGATCGTTGGCAAATGATTAACTGTGGGGGATGCATTGATGGAAAACATATACGCATAACTCAACCAGTCAAATCTGGAGCTCTTTATTATAACTATAAAAACTTTTACAGTGTAGTACTAATGGCTGTCGTTAATCATAATTATGAATTTATTTATGTTGATGTGGGCAAACAGGGAAGAATATCTGATGGTGGTGTTATTCAAGCAACTTCATTTCACAATAGACTACAAAATGGGAGTTTAAATTTGCCAACAAAAATTGAATGCGATGAAGGTTTAAATTTTGTATTTATTGGAGATGAAGCTTTTGCATTGGAGGAACATATATTAAAACCATACCCGCAAAAGAACCTAGATTACCAAAAACGAATTTATAATTATAGATTGGCACGTGCAAGAAACGTTGTTGAAAATGCATTTGGATTGATAGCAAATAGATTTAGAATTTTACTTACAAGTATTAATATAAATACATATGACATCAACTACATTGTTCTAGCAATTTGTACTTTACACAATTTTTTAATGAAAAATAGTTCTTCTTACATAAAACAAACATCCTTTGATAGTGAAAATGTTGAAACTCATGAAATAGAACCAGGTACATGGAGACAAGAAATTAACAATATTAACGAAACAATTGCTTCATTACAAACAAATAGGTAGTGTAAAGAACAGTTCAGCCATTGCAAAAATTAACAGAGATGAGTATTTGAAATTTTTTAATGAAAAAGGTAAAATATCATGGCAAGATGAGATGATAAGAAGAGGAAAAGCATGAAAAAAATATATTGTCTTCATTAATTTTAGAGTAAAATTCCATCCAGGGAAGCAAGTGAGGTTATATAAGATATTATATAATAAAAATACTTTTTACTTATACAATTTTGTCAAGTCCAACAAATTTAAAAAATAAAGTATATGAATTAATGATGTTAAATGTAACCACTAATATTTATTATTTTGTTTGAAGTTTTTATTTTAGTTACCTAATACTTAATTTCAATGAGTTCAATTTTTTTTTCTATTTAACTTGTATTCTAGCAAGTCAAAAAAAAATTAGTTCACTTGCTCGGCCTTGAATAAATTATGTTTCTTGTTTGAAAAAATTTACCTGATTTGTACTCTCTTTGCCATCCTTCTCAGTCTCAGTTTGTTCAAGTATATCATTGCAATCAAAAACAGCTATATTTTCATTTTCAACATCAGGATTACAATCTTCGGAATGTGACGAATCTAAATTACTCACTGATGGAAGGGGATCCATGTCATTTGCAAATGACAATAGTTCATAGTACCTAAATAATATAATATTATATATCTATTATACTTGCATTGATTATAAAATATAATTTTATAGTTTTAAATACATTGAGTTAGAAATTTGGAAATTAAAATTATTTAGGTACCTTTTGGCTTTTACCATATTTACAATAAGTAAAAATGTAACAATATATTTATGATATATTTTTTTTTAATTATTATTTAAACTGAAAAATTGTATGGTTAGAATAATTTTCCATTGCCTACCAAATTGAAAAGATTATTTTATTTTGTTATCAGTTTATTAACTAAACTAAAAAAAGTGAGTTTCTATAACGGACTATATATTATTTTCCTATAACTTAATAATGTATTTATTATAATTATAAACTTACCACAATGATGGGGTATAAATATCATCAGACCCTTTACCGGATCGTTTAGAGCTTTCGACTTTGGCCCTTTCTTTCCTGACAGCTCTTCGAATATTTTGAATTTTGTCTTTAACCATCTTCACATTTGCATCTTTCATTCCATTACATTTTAACTGATCGACTAACTCAGTATACGCTTTGTTTTTCAGGTTCTTATTTTTATATTCTTCTGTGTTAATTTTCCACAGACACTCTTTAGATCTGTAATGATCAATGAAGTCACTTAAGACGGACTTGTTCCACTCCATGATATAACTTATATTATAAGTTATAACTAAAATTTCACGAACAGCAGTACTGCAATAGTAATAAAACTAAAATTTCAAATAAACAACTTTCACAGTTACAAATTTGAACATTTGATAATATTATTGATAAGAAAAATAGGTGATAACGTGAGAATTCATTATCAATATTTATTCTGCAGGACCCGGTCCTTGTCATTAGTGGCTGTTCAAAGATTTGATCCGTAGGACTTATTCCGTCGGATTTTTTATGCTAAACGGATTCTATCCGGTGATAACCACACATGAGTGGATTTACCAGCGGACTTGATCTTTCGAGGACCAAATCCGTCAAAATATCCTATCGTGTATGGCGGGCTATAGTGGGAGATGTATCCTTGCTGCACTAATCCAGTTATGCCTACTGGAGGAAACAGTAAATTTGATAAATCATCATTATGAAGGAGAGCAATTTCGGTTGACTCATCATTTGGCTAAATATTAAAACATTATTTGGCTAATTGCAATAAACACTTTTCACCGATTAGCTTACGTTTTGTAAAAAATCATTTACGTCATCAAACAATTCCATCTGGACTTCGTCACGAATCACGATCATCAGTTATCCATACATTTACAATATTTCTTTCATCTTTCAACCTACATTGCCCGTTCTACACATACATTAATGAACATACGTGATGGAGGTACACAATATAATATATTATATTATAATTATTATTTTACGTTATTGTTAAAATAAAAATAGTTTACATTATTTTGGATTACATATTTAATATATATGTATTTTTTTATTGGTCTTAAGCAATACTTAAGACATAACTGTAATTTAAACATTTATTAACTTTAACATAATAGTATAAATTGTTAGATTATTTGTGAGGTTCTGAGCGAAGGGAGTACCTCCCCAGGAGTGTTCCTCAAGTGCAAGGATTTAAAATAGGAAAAAAGTTTACTTACTATTAGAAGGAATATTAAAGCTAATTGAACGACCATTGTTAAAATTATTTGTATAATAAAATTAAACATTATGAATTACAATAAAAAACCAAGTATAATATACTAAAACGTGATACAGTAAATGATATATATTACAAAAATAATACAAGCAAATTGTCATGGTGTTTTAGTGATGTTTCTTTGACTTTAAACTTGATAGCAATAGCTTTTTGAAGGCCAGATGTATATTTTAATGGTTTTTTTTTCAAAACATTTTTATATGTTTTAGATTTTTAAATATAAGTAAAGAACACCAAGTTGTTTCAATCCGTTAGTTACCAGCAGTGGAGTACTCAGGAAGAGGCTCTCCTTTGCTGTATTATTACACATTTTTAATACTATTTATCAAATTTAAACTACATGGCCAACTAGTAAACAATGACGTTAAACGTTTTCACGGATTAGCTAAGCCTGCATAAATTGAAAAAAGGACGGCGGGTACTTTCGTGTTGTACAAAAAGTGTCAAGTGTGAACTGAAATGAATGCGTTAATTTGAATTCAATGATATAAGCATGTATAAACGATTCTGAGTGAAGACGGTATGTCAGCCTATAGGATATTTTATTAATATCTAAATAGTACATACTTCTTTTATAAATAATAACAAATACACTTTTAAACAACTTATACAACCATACAGAGTATTTGGTAATAACTTATAGGCAAGTTAAATTCATTTTTGTAAAAAACATCGTACTTTCATACATACTTTTGTAAAATGATCAGTGATTCTTTGGTTGCAGTATGAACTTTTTATGTAACCACTAATACTAATACTGGATACGAAACGATACATTGTACTAGCGCTATCTCGTAGACAATAAGGTTAGCCTAACCTTAGTGCCAGCTCGTTTTTCGTTCAAAAACATGTTTTACGAATAAAACTCAATGCCTCGTAGAGTATGATTATTTTTTAGTAAAAGACTTACTATAAATACTTATGGCACACATATGGTTCAAAATGAACTTATTTTTATTTCAAACTTAATGATTTGAATTAAAAAAAGGTACACTTTACTGCATATATTATGAAAGTCATATTGTAATAAAATAATTTACAAATATTTATATTCTTAATCATATATTATATATTGTTACTTAAAATAATTAGCACATATTATAAAGATAGGTAATAATTCTTTTTGTTTATCATCTTGATATCAATTTAGATAATTTTTTTTAGATTTTATTCAAAGGTTTTTTATTCTTGTTACATTGATAAGTAAATTGTCTCATTCTCATTGTAAGATAGGATGTAAAAATATATTCAATAACCTCTTCTTTATGGGCATTGCAAGAAAATGGAATAATGTAATTATAAAAAAAAAATGATCAACTGTGTCTTTAAATATAGTTGGACTCAGAGCACGAATAGAAAATGAAATTTCAATTTGACGAATTAAAATATAAAAATTATTGTCTGGGTGTGTCAAACACCCACGGCTCTTCAGATTTACTAGTTAAGCTTCAGGTTAATTCGTAATCATTTTAAAATAGTCAGTTTTAGTCCCTGATAAACATAAATGACACTTGGTTTTTTTACATAACCGACGAGCCAGGTATCTTAAAAATTAAATTAAAAATTAAAACTTAATACCTAGGTGTTTCAGCAACTAATAAATGTATATATTTAATTAGCTAATTTACCCAGAAAGATAATAAACAACACACTCAAATGTCGCATTATCAGACATATCACGGTCTTTGAAGACATCATCCATATCCCATCTACCTTCCACTATAATTTCATCAATATGATTTTTAAGTTTTAAGATCTTTTCTCCTCTGTCTGCTTTATTTTCATTTACAGAACTTTTCAAGTCAGATATGGTAATCAAAGGAGCATAGTCTGTATCTAAACAAATTATAATGTTAATAATGGTAAATTGTAAATAGGTACAAATTAATACCATCAAACACTGTACAGTTTCCGCTTTTTGGTGGTTTTACTAAGGAGTAAACAGACAACAGTCTATACAACTGTAAAAAAGTAGGTGTAGACGGATGGTAATTTGGTCCGGAACTCTGTCTAATGACTCCAAAAAAATTCTAAATAACAAGGTTTTAAAGAAAAAGTATAAATTTAAAGATTATTATAAAAATCAATAAATAATAAACAATATTTTCTTACTTCTAAACAGTCTTGGTTAAACTTCGAAGTTAGTACATAATTAAATCCACATTCTTCCAATAAATAATTAGTTAAATCTATAGTAGATTTTAATGTCAGTCTCAAAGATTGAGAAGTGTTTTTATTAAGAAATTCTTTTTCTCGAATAAGTCCTTTTTCTAAATTTGTCTCCCATTGGTCAAGCCAATTTAAACTTTCTTTTAATACCGGTTTTATTATTTAAGAATGATATAATTAATTTACTATTTAGGTAATAAATGTAATGTGAACATAAAACACAATGATATCACAGCACAAATTAAGATATTACATTTACATGCAATATACAATACACATTAATTAAGATTATTAAGTGCAAATCATACATAAATACAATTTGGTTAAGTTAGGTTGGTATAATATAATTATTGAATAATATCCTGACTACAACACAAAATTACACAGATGCCACAGAGCAAAACAAGCAACACAAAATAAACCTCCAAATCTTTGCTATTTTTGCCAATTCCTTCTGCGGGAAATTTACGATTCATTAGAAACATATTATTCATTTTTAGTGTAAACTCTTGTGTTTATAATGAGTGCTTAAGGCCATAACACATTTGTGCACGATAGAATTGTATCCCTACTGCCATGGAGTTACTTAATACCTGTTTTTATGATCAATAAATACTTAATTCATTATGAAGTATCACAAATTAAGAAATATAGGTATATAGATGTATCGATGTTATTATTCGTGTTTAGTATAGCTATAAAATAAAATAAATTGAATTACTTGTGTTGCATATTTTACTTTCATTTTAGTAAGATTGTTTAACTCTATATGATGTTTTGATATTTTAGGACATATTTTAACACGTTGACCGCCACGTGCCCGCCGGCGGGCATTTGATAATCTTTCGCCGAAGGCTACAGTGCATTTATAGAGTTATTCATAAATTGTTATTTGCGATATTTATAGAACTAATCATCGGAAATTCACGAAACCGATATCGTTATTTTTATTTTTGTCTCGCCAATAAGATTATAGTGCTAGTTTAAAGTGGTAGCCGGCGGTCACTTGGCGTCCTGTTAATACTCGTATTAATCATACGCCAAGTGGTTACCGGCGGTCACACTACATTTTACGAGTAAAAATATATTTTTTTTTGTGACAACAATTTAAATGATGAGTTCTCGTGCTAAAAAGGCTAAACTAAATGACGATCTAATAAATCAAATACTTGAAATTGATAATTCTAGTAATTCTAGTGAATTTAGTGATTTTGATGACACTGACGAAGATGTTACATACAATCCAAATTCTTCAGAGTCTGATGTTGAAAGTGATGTTGAAGGTAAGAAAAAGTTTTTTTTTTCTTTAAAATCTATAGGAAAGGGAGTTAAAAATAATATATATCATACAATTTTATTTTATAATAAAAATAATAGATATATTTATTTAAAATATTTTTACGTAATTAGGCAAGTATGATTATTTATATTTAAATATATAACTAGGTAATTTAAATTGTTTAAATTTTTCTATAGAATCGATTAACGATGAAAAAATAGATAGTTCACCTGTAAGTTCTTTGAATTCTACGCGCATCGAAGTTTGGAATGATGTAACAGGCAAAAATCAAAAACAATTTTTCTTCAATAATACATATTCCGGATTAAAAATTGATATACCCCCTGATTCTTCTGTTTTGGACATTTTTAAATTATTTTTTACAAGTGAAATAATTGATTTAATTGTGGTTGAAACCAATAGAAATGCTGAACAATTCCTGTCAAAAAATAGATTGACCAAATCCAGCCGATTCGCTAAATGGATACCTACAAACGAAAATGAAATTCAAAAATTTTTCTGGTTAATTATATGGATGGGGCTAGTACAAATGCCAGCTCTAAAAGACTATTGGTGTAATAGTACTAGATGTAAAAATTACGTGGCACATAAAATCATACCTAGAAACCGCTTTGAATTAGTTCTCCGGTTTTTACATTTTTCCGATAATGAAAAATTTGATGGTGATAAAATTTATAAAGTACGCAATTTAGTTGAAAAAATGATTTATAATTTTCAAAATGTAATGGAACCAGATGAAGATTTAGCTGTTGACGAGACTATGGTCCCTTTTCGTGGGTGGTTGGGGTTCAGGCAGTACATACCCGGAAAATCACATAAATATGGCGTAAAATTGTTTAAGTTATGTGGAACAAATGGGTACACATATAATGTGCAAATTTATGCTGGTAAAAGCCAAGTTGATGGGAATTTGCTTGCGTGCAAAGTTGTGTTAAATCTATGTCAGATGTATTTGAATGCTAATCGGATAATAACCACAGATAATTTTTACACTTCATTACCCCTAGCATATGAACTTTTGAAAAATAAAACACATTTAACAGGAACACTACGCTCTAATAGAGTTCGGGTACCAGGAGTAACTGATGCGAAGTTAAAACGAGGAGAAATTGTTGGTAAGGAAAATGCAGAAGGAATTGTTGTTGCTAAATGGAAAGATAAACGAGACGTTACTATGTTGTCGACTCGACACGGTATTGCCCTGATAGATACCGGTAAAAAAAATAAAAATAAAGAAAATATTGTGAAACCCGAAATTATAATTAATTATAACTATGGCAAGGCAGGCATTGATCTATCTGATCAACTTTCAAGTTATAGTACAGCGGTCAGGAAATCAATCCGATGGTACCACAAAGTCGCTACGGAAATATTACTAGGAACGGCTGTTGTAAACGCTTTAATTGTTTATAATAAAATGCATGAAAGAAAATTAAAAATTACCCAGTTTCGAGAAATATTAGTTGATCAAATGTTAGAACTTGAAAAACAAAATAAATCTATCGTAAATGAACCATCAACGTCTGGAAACAAACGATCAAAAGGAAATACGAAACATTATTTTCAAGAAACTACGGAAAAGTGTAATAGGAATCGAAAACTTCGAAAAAGATGCGTTCATTGCTATCAAAGTATAAAAGATGTTGAGGGGACCGCAAAAGCTAGAGAAGTAAAAAAAGTTTCAACATTTTGTATAACTTGTAAAATGTATACCTGTATAAATTGTTTTAATATACACCATGTAAATTAGTATTTTTTTTTATTTTATCTTTTAATTTTGACATGTTTAATTATTTAAAAATCCATCATACATAATAATAATAAAAAAAATTAAAGCAATAGAATAATGTTTTTAATCATTTATTTCTACAACTTAAAAAAATCCAATAGAGGTAAAAAATATACCGATCGATGTAAAATTTTCTTCTCTATGCAATGGTAATATTATTCGTATCATTACTTCAGCGCCAGCATAATAAAGTCTATTTAAAAATATACAAGAATGTGACAGCCCGCGGTCACATGGCGCATAGGTAATAGGGTAGCGTGGCAGCCGGCCACCACATTTTTAGTGTTATCACCAGTAGCAAGATGACCGCCGGCGGGCACATGGCGGTCAACGTGTTAAGCATATTTTTTGAGTCATTTTCCAAAACACATCTATAATGGTCCCAAGTAATACACTCCTGAGACGGATGAATCTTTAAAATATTAAATAGAAATTTTTTATTGTATATTAATTGAAAATTATGTGGAAAATTAAACTTGTAACTAAAATGATATATTAACCTTTAAATATCTTTGCTGTGATAAACGATTTCTAATATTTTTTATTGTATATGGGGCATCACACAAAACAAACACCGTACGATTTTCGTCAAATGGGTTTTCAAAGAAATTTTTAAGTTCTGTTTTTTTACTATTTATACCCAAAGTTTTATACATAGTTTTATTAGTTGATGCACCACCAATAACAAGTTCTACGACTTCTAATACAGACTTTTTCAACATAATAGCCTTTATTACTAATTGATCAAGGTCAACCCCTATTTAAAATTGAATAATATAATTTTAAATTAGTTTATATTAAAGGGAATTGTTTCAACATATTTTTATATTATACTTTTACCTTTTACCGGTCCTCTCGAAGCAAAAGCAGCTATCGGTTGGGTTACATTTTCAATTAAACTTTGCCACAAAAGAACCAAGCCGTGATCAGCCTGTTCAGTACTTCCTTTTTTATTTTCCACCTCTTCTCCAAAGTCTTCCAGACCAGAATATGTCAACGATCTGCAATTTACATCAATACTAGTACGTAAAAATATTTCATCCAACATTAAAACCCCTTTTTTTTGAATTTTTGTTTTTTGAGAATTGTTTTTCTAACAATTTGAAAAACGCATTGTCAAATCCACATTCACTTTTGATTGCTAATATATATGTTTTCTTATAGTTGAAGTACATGGCAATGGTAAAAAACCCTGGTCCCGCAAAAATTTATACCTTGAAGGAGATCTATAAAGTATTAATAGTTTTTAATTTACAATATTATCGTTAATTTAATTTCTTTGAAGTAAAAAAAATATCTAACCTTATTTGATACAGAAGGCAAAGAATCATCCCACTTTCAGAATAATTTCTATTTTTGGGATTTGTATACTTGCTAGCAGAAATTATTTCATTTGATAAAACTGATTGACTTTTTGAAATATTTGATTCCTCAATCAGTTTTGTCAATGTATTATTTGAGATATTTTTCATTTGATTTTTTATAGAAATTAAATTTGATTTTAATTGAATATTCCTATTCATAACTCTAGTTCTCTGAATTCTAGCAATATGTTTTTTTTCTTAAGTTTTGTAAAGAATGTTTTTTACTTGGAAAAAAATATGATCTAACTAATTTTTCTTTTGAGATATTATAAGATTTTTTTCGAATTGAGTACAATAACCTTTTACATCATAATCAACAGCTGGAACTTCATAAACATACATATTATTACATACATATTACAATTTAACAATGAATGTAATTTAAATTATTGATTAGTACAAATTTAGATTCCTTAATTCATGTTACTTGTCACTACTTAAAATTGTTGAACAGTTTGTACGTTTCCAATGACTATCAGTACTTTCATATTGAGGACCAAATTATGTTTTTATATTAGGATAACTGCTAATTAAAACAGCTCCATGGCATAGTTTTATAGAATCCATACATTCAATTGCACTTTGTATTTTTGAATAGTTGTTTTTGAACAGATCATAGGAATATACTGCTGTTATTGTTCTGGAGAAATTGATTTATTCAAAATATAAATCAAAATTTTAGAATCTGTCAAGATATAATTAAATAATAAAAGCCAAACAACATAAAATATAATATATCAAATTGTTATTACATAAGTATAAATCCAAGAAACAAAGAACGAAGATTTCATTTTTTGATAACCAATAAGAAACAGAAACAGAAACAGAAACATACATTTTTATTTTTTTAAAAACCGAAAAGGAACAGAAATCATAATTTTTGTTTTTAAAGAACCGAACCAGTACCTTAAAAATCATCAATGTTCCAGTCGTTATATTAAGTTTTTAAGAGGGTAATATTTTGAAATTCACTACGATTTCGTCTTAAATATTCTTAAAGAAAAACCCACAAGTCAATAACGTTGTTAACTGTATTGACATTATATAAATTGATTACATATTGATGATGGATGTAACATTTAGTTCTTGTAAAAGTAATATGTAGGCATTTGGCTTCATTTATTCGCAAATAATTTTTTATTAACCATATACTACATAATTTATCTGAATTGGATGACAATTTATGGTAATCACTATGTGATTGGAATATTAAGCATATGGTGTCATTGGCTAATAATAAATGCTTACAATGAGTAAAAACTTCACTAAAATAATTTACAAATATAATGAATATTTAGAATAGGGGACAAATTACCACTTTGTGGAACTTCAGATGTTGCATATTCGAAATTTATTACTTTTAAGTTAAAAATTGTGATGTAGAATCTGCACGATTGCACGAATTGAAAGTTCAATTTCATTACAGAGTTTCTAAATTCTAATATTTTGTTCGATTGCTTATGACAATTAACTGATCAGTTAGGGTAACACCTTGATTGAGTATAATATTCACAATAACAATATTAGTTACTATTACATTTAATATATTATCTAAGCCATAAAACAATTTAATATATATATCATTAAATGATGATTTAAATAAAAAAATTATGCTAATCGTGCTCTAAACCCAACATGCCACAGTGTATAAAAATAGCATAAGCAATGGTGTCTTACAAAATACATTTTGCTGATCCGTCTTTTGATCAACCAGGACGTATCGACTTTCTTCTTGGAGCTGACATTTATAATCAAATATTCAAGAATGGTTACCAAGTACGTCACGTCATTGGATTACCTTCAGCATTCGAGACTAGCCTTGGATGGATTTTTGTTGGAACTTCATTTCAAGACAGTTCACCTTCACACTGCTCGTCTCTTCTAGTGTCATCCGAACCTCCTCTCAGCCGGTTGCTCAACCGTTTTTGGGAAGTGGAAGAGCCGGTTGTACGTCCCGGGCCATTCACGGAAGAAGAAAAATGTGAAGAACATTTTTGTCAAACGACTAATCGTGATGAGTCTGGACGGTATATTGTGAATTTTCCCTTTAAGATTGACCCGAGTACATTGGGTGAATCGCGCTGCATGGCGTCGTCACGTTTCTTCAATCTAGAACGGAAATTACAAAACGATTCAGAGTTGTATGAAGCATATAGATCATTCATGGACTGCTACCTCAAGCTTGGCCATATGCAACTTGCCGCTACACCAGCTAAATACATAATAGAACATCATGCGGTGGTCAAGCATGAAAACAATAAAATCAAATTACGGGTGGTATTCGATGCCTCTGCCTGCACATCCAAAGGATCGTCTCTAAACAGCATACTCTATACCGGACCAAAATTACAACGGGACATACTGCATTTATTAATGTGTTGTCGACTACATCGATACATGTTTACGGTGGACATTTGCAAAATGTACCGTCAAATCATTATTCCACCTTCAGAGCGTGATTACCAACGCATCTTATGGCAAAATGACCCTTCCACCTCATTGGAAGAATACGAGTTATGCACCGTAACTTACGGAGTCGCTTCTTCTCCCTATCACGCTATAAGGGTGTAATATCAACTTGAAAAGGATGAAGGTAAACAATATCCGGCTGCTATGGATGTCTTATCTACCCAAACTTATGTGAATGACATTATAACAGGAAACAATACAGTAGACGAAGTACTAATGTTACAGCAACAAACCATTCAATTGTTGGCTCATGGTGGGATTTGTGCTCGAGAAGTGGGCAAGCAACTGTCCTGAAGTATTGAAAAATATTCCTATGGAGGACCGGACTACAGTAATATCCTTCGACCAAAAGGACGAATGCACCGTAAAAATACTCGGGCTCCACGTTCCGATACCTTCACGTATCACAGTGGCTCGTTTAAGGAAACACCCACCAAACGTTCGGTATTACCAGCTATTGCACAAATGTATGACCCACTTGGATTGCTAGCCCTATCATATTTTGGGCGAAATGCTTCATGCAGATCTTATGAAAAAGCGGATACACTTGGGATCAGCCCATTTCAAATGAACTATCGTCATTATGGAAAAATTTTTGTCAGAGTTACCCAGTGTGGCTTCACTCAAAATACCCAGGTACATTCCGATCGATCAGTCTTGTCATGTTCAGTTACTCGGTTTTTCCGATGCGTCAAAGAAGGGATTTGCAGCGATTGTCTACATTCGGTTAGAGTACCCTTCAAAATTATCAACGGTACATTTACTAACTGCAAAATCAAAGGTGGCACCCCTGAAGTCAGGAAATATGGACGAGTCGTTATCTATTCCACGATTGGAACTTTGTGGGGCCCTGTTACTTGCCCAAACGCTAAATCGTGTTCAACAAACTCTTGCCAAAATGGTTAAAATCTCCACTATGCATGCATGGACGGATTCCACTGTTGTGCTCGCGTGGATAACCGCTCACCAAGTACAATTTAAGGTATTCGTCACAAACAGGTTGAATAAGATCACGGAACTGATACCATCATGCACATATCGTCACGTTTCCACGATGAACAACTCAGCAGACTGTGTTTCACATGGAATGCATGTCAACGAAGCACTGTCACATACTCTGTACTGGACCGGTCCCGAGTTCCTGCGTCAGCCGGAGAGTGGCTGGTCGTCCACTAGTTATAACGTCATGCCACTCGAAAGACTCCCAGAACGGCAGACCACTACAGAATCAATTAATCTTGTCACCGTTCCGACCCACAGTACCGATTGGTTACAGCGTTTTTCTTCATTCACTCGAGTCACTCGAATTGTCACTCACATGTATCGGTTTATACTTCGTATTCGAAATCAATTTTCATATTCAGGTTTTATTTGTTGGTCAGAGCTAGAGCATGCCCTCAAGGTAATCGCAAAAGTCACTCAATCACATGAATTTCGAGACTTAATCAAAATATTGTCATGCCACAGAAATGGTACAATTCCACTATCCGTTGCGCGACTTGCGCCATTCCTAGATACTGAAGGAATTGTCCGAGTTGTAGGACGTATGCAAAATGCAAGGTCCAAGGAGGATTTCAAATTTCCAATATTACTGCCAAAGTCCTGCGTACTCCCTACATTACTTGTGCGTCATTATCACACTAAACATTTGCACGCAGGACCTCAACTGGTGTCATTGCTGTCCGTTCGTTTTTGTATATTGTCAAGTCGGTCCATCATCCACTCAGTCATATTCAAATGCATGGTTTGTGCAAGACAACGAGTCACTCGGCCTACACCTGTAATGGGAGACTTGCCAAATTTTCGAGTTAGTCCTTCGAGGCCATTCAACAACGTCGGCATTGATTACGCAGGCCCATTATGGATTAAAGAAGGGAGACGCCGCAACGCTCGCTCAGTGAAGTGTTATCTGGCGATCTTTGTCTGTATGGTAATCAAGGCAGTACATATAGAGGTCGTTTCTGACTTATCCACACCTGCGTTCATAGCTGCACTACATCGTTTCATTTCACGACGGGGTATTCCAGCTCATATCTATTCTGATTGTGGAACGAACTTCCACTCCGCCAATAGCATTTCAATCCTCCTGCAGCCCCTAATTTTGGCGGACTATGGGAAGTAGCTGTGAAGTCAACAAAATATCCTCTCAAACGAGTCATTGGTACTCAGCTGTTGACATTTGAGAAAATGTCCACCTTAGCTCACAGAATTGAAGCTCTGCTCAACTCAAGGCCACTTGTACCACAATCATCTGACCCAAGTGACCTACGAGTGCTAACTCCTGGAGACTCTCTGATCGGTTATCCATTAGTTGCGTTACCAGAATCAGATCTGACTTCCACGCTGATGAACCCCAGATAGCAAAATTATAACATAATAACATTATTATATAATTACATTTGTAATGACTAATATTTTTTTATCATTACAATTTAAGTATATCTACA